TATATACCAGACAACCATATATCTAGTAAATACTAGAGCATTCGCCAAGGTACAGGATAGTTCTAGAAAACAGGTGGCGCCACACCAGTCACGTGACCTCGATGACGCAAGTATGAAGGAGGTACTGGCCTTGTATGTTTTTGTGTAATTAAGCACAAAGCTACACAATAGGCTATCTGTACTCTGCCCACCACAGATATCGAAACTCGGATTCTAGCGTTGTAAGTCCGCAGACATACCGGGTGGGGTGGCCTCGTATGAAACAATATATTAAAAATTATATGTTCTAATGTCATATTTGTCAAACTACAAATCTTGTTCAAAAACTGGCAGCAGGATTTATGGAAAGCACCAAAATTCTGGAACCTTTTGAGATAATAGGCATTGACAATGTAAGAGGTTATTCTGAATCTAATGTTGGGAATAGTTATTTATTGGTTATTTTAGATTATTTCAGTAAATTGCTCGTGAAAAACCTAATTAATGGATGTTTATATAGCTAGGGTATTCCAAAGGCTATTGTGTCAAATGAGTCTACAGTTTACATGCCATCCAAACTATATGTATCTAGGATATTAAATTTTCTTTATCTGCGACCACCTTACTAGGTATCCCGCTAAAACTCTTACCATGGAAGAGTGAACAACAGAACAAGTTCTGCAGAAAAGAACGTTCAACATTGAAATGGTTCGTAGACGACAACAGCGAGCCTCCATCCATAAGTGACATCCAGTGGCTTGCAAAGTAGGTAATATGGTAATATTAATTTCTCATCTTCATCTTCTGCAGCAAATAATTTTACTGCAAAATATGCTCCAAAACGGAACAGGCTCTTTGAAATTATTAAGTGTTTACCTAATTTAACTCCATGAGTGTGTGAATTAAAAGATCCTGGATCCGATGAAATTGCTAGACAATGTCGTGTTTCTGATACAAAGAAGTGAGTTTTCTTTCCTTTTGTGGCTCTCACTGTTAAGATTAATAAAAGCGACCCTGACAGTAATGGTCATCAGTATCCGAGATAGTTAAGGCCTCTCATCATGCTGACGACAAAAGATTTGCGAGGCTTCCACCAGTAAGACAGAGAATTCCTCCAATTGCTAGGGTAGCTACTGTTTCATTTCCTGATCGATTGATAGATTTCATTGATGATCTAATTACGGCAGCTACTGCTCCAATCACTCCTAGAACATTACGGCCAAATTCCTGAGTCGCCACCGAAGGATAATTGGTCTCTCACAAACTGAGAGGGGGAAATAGTAATAAACTGTTCCAGTAAGCTGAACCAGAGCTGTAATTAAGAGAAGAACAGACAGAAAACACTTTCACCGTCAAAGAATAGCTCTTGCCATGTAGGTTTTTATACTTTAAACTCTATACTTTTTCTAGCATTGGTATAGAGGGTATTTACTTTAATAAGAGGAAAGTTGGGAACTAAAAAAGAAGTAACTGTTGTCATCACTATATTTTTTCGAAGTGGGAGGAGTTAGAGGTAGCTATTTTATTTCATTTTAAGTTATAGTTTGTTCATAATTTATGTTGTTGTGTTTTCCTTCTACCCTTTAGTTCAGCCTCATAATATTAAACAATAATGTTTAATATTAAGAAATCCATACGAGATTCCCCTAGTGGTGACGTACGGATACTAAGTTCATGTATGATTATGTGAAACATATTTTAAGATATAGTCATGTGAAATTAAGCGAGGCTGTAGAAAGGAGTTTTATAGAGACGGAAGATATATTTGTTGATTATTAATAGAAATAGATTATTGGAGATACTGCTCAGAGGGGGAACTAGCGCGGGGCAATGCCCCTGGATCCTGGTCTGGTTTATATTCTTCTGAAAAAGGGGCCCCAATCATTTCTTTGCCCCGGGGCCCCTGAACTACTTGATCGTTATTTATGATTTAAAGTTATTTTGAAAAATGTCTAATATCATTCTTTTGTGTAGTCCTATGAATTAGGTTTTCTTTTCTTCTAGTAATCCCCCCCCAGTGGCACAGCGGGATGTCTGCGGACTTACAATGCTAGAAACCAGGTTTCGATACCCGTGGTGGGCAGAGCACAAATAGCCCATTGTGTAGCTTTGTGCTTAACTTCAAACAAACAATCTAGAAATTTCTTTCTAAATTCGATATTATTGTTATTATTATTTTGAGTAATTTGATAACAACCAATTTTGATATTTATTTTTTTAAATATTTGTTTCTGACATATAAAAAACTTTCTGTTTAGGCTCTAATTTATTAGTTGTTTATATTTTGTAAAACTTGTACCGTGTTTAATAAATTTGAAATTTATCTCACCCCAGTAGAAACATGGTTGTTTAATATACGTTACAAACGGTTTACAGATACTATGTTATATAAATGATCTCACCATTTCCTTGTAAGATTTAAGAAAAGTGTTATCTTAAAACAGTAAAAACATAATATTAGTTATTACAAAAATCAATATTAATGAAACTTCAAATATTGAGGCTACAACGAATTACTCATAATTTTAAAGCATTATCTATTGCAGGGGTGTAGCCAGGGGAGGAGGGGTGAGGGATTGAGCGACTACCCCAATATACTTAAAAGTTTTAAATGCCTACCATATTTAGATTTCTTTTCAATATTACATATTATTATATATATATATTTATTCGCACCATTCATAGATACAATTAATACAGTTACACACATCAGTAGTTATACAGATAATTAATATGTACACAGGTGAGAAATAATAATATTTATATCTACCCTGTCGTCACCTCCTGATGTCCACCTGAAGCGGATAAAGTCTCTAATAGCGCTGGCTCTTGGGCCAGTCTGGGGCTTTTTAGCTCGAAGAAATCTCGGTAAAGATTCCCGGTGAAGACTGTATTTACAACAAATTTGACTGATGGAATTCCAAGCAGGGGATCTACTGCCATTTACAGCCATTCTATAGCACAATCTGACTAGCTCGTTTTCAGACGAACGGCAGGAGTTCATAAAGTTCACAAAACGCTTGTGTATTTGAAATTCTACGGGATGATCATCTACAATTCTAGGTAACAGTGTCAGAGTGAATGTCATATGGCACCATGAGAATGCGACGAATGCATTTCCGCCATGCGCAATAAAAACTCTCGATTGTCTTATGATCAAAATCGCAAAGATTCGATCCATATGAACACATACAGTAAGTTTTAAACAGACTGTTTCGCACATCATAAGAACAATGTGAAAATTTAGATAGTAACGAATTACATCTCTGGTACAATTCATTCACGCTTTTCTGAATGGAATTTGGTCTGTAATTAAAACCGGTGTACTGATCAAGGTGTACAGTTGATTCGCTTAATGGAACCATCATGCTACAGAACAATATAGGCTGTTCTACATTATCATTACTAACTGAAGTAGGACACCTGAATTTCAAAAACTGGCATTTCGCTGGATTGAACTTAATGTTAAGGTCCTTGACTATTTGCTCGGCAATTTCCAACATTTTCAATAACCCAGTTCTCACAACTTTCCAGAAATTAAATCTTTTTTTTTCTTACAACATACCTTAGTTAACCCTGTGAGACTCTTTTGAGTCATGCTCGACATAAGATAGGTTTTATTTAACCTCAAATTTGGAAAAGTTCGCTCAGTAAATGCAACAGTCACTGGATCTGTAACTAATAAGCTCAGAACACCACGCACATTGGGATATACTGATGATAAGTCATTTTTGTGCATAAAACGCAGTATTCGGAGATAATCAAATATTTCTGGAAGGATTATAGCTAGATTTTGAAATCTAACCACAAAATCTGACTGAGCTTCTTTAGATAGAGTTACAGCTAAGCAATTTCAATATATCATCCAAATTCATCAAATCACAGTCCACTATAATTAAAAAATATATAATCAGTATAAATTGTCGTAGTAAGTTATTTCTAGTTTGTTATAGCACAATCAGAATCATTTCTCTATGTTGAAGAATCGCAGATAGTCCTCGAGTAGCTTTGTGCGAAATTCGAAACAAACCAAATTATTGAAAAACCGTTTACAGTTTGACATTAACTAAATTACTACCAATATCGATTCTCACAGTGGAGCTCTGCAATTGCTCAATGATTAAATTTGTTTGTATAAGCAAGTAATACCATTCTAGTAAAGAAATCAAATATCTGTATCACGTACAGAGGGTTATGTACGTTATATTAAAACTTTTTTGAATATACGAATCAGAAAGTTATGTATCAAAAAGCAACCGATATAAGGTCGTGATGAAATGACATCTACCAGAACTACATTTTGACATTGTTTTCGATTTGTATGTAGTGTGAATCCACCGTAACGTGGTCTTTTTGGAAAGGGTATGCAACAACCCTTTCGACACAAAATATTCATACATTCAAATCATAAAGATATCTTCAGATCGAGGATTTAGAATTTCGAAGCAGAGATAGCCCTTTTAATTAATGACACTGTAAAACGAAGCAATATGGATCAACCTGGGGCACCATTACCAATCAGATAAAACCCTGCAACAAGATGAATCCTAACCATGGTAAGCAAAATGTGGCATCTTGTAACAGACGATAATCCAGAACACAAGGTCAAAGACAAAAGCCATTCACATGCCCCAGACAACAGCACTCAACATAATCAAGAAGGATTTCTACCTGGAAAAGCGACACAAATCGAGTGTACACAAGCTACTTCCACAACATATCTGGTCAACCGTCGCATATCTCAAACAGCTGGAGAACGAAACGAGTATTTATGTTGTTCTATACGAAGGTATACTGTTTAGGTCGCCAGATGCAATAGCTATGGATTTCTGTGTGATCAGACTCTTGAAAAAGGTGCTAGAAAACTGTCGATCTCGTGTACTATATATGTTATAAAAAGCACGCAGGAAGGAGTGGTGAGCTTTGAGCATGACATCCTTTTGTAATGGAAACCACGCTGCAGGGCTGTCGTCAAGGTGCACGGTCATCAGACAGAACATGATCAAACGTGATGACATGGACTGTAACATAACATAATGTTTTGGAACAACATGGGACCTATTGGTCCATCTTGGCTGTCCCATCCTCTAAACTAAAGTAAAATTAATAAATTTAAAATATGCTTAAAGCCAGCCATTATTATTTATATACTTATCAAGCTTTCTCTTAAACTTACTGCTTCCACAACATGGTGAGGCTCAAAAATCGTTTCAGTATAACATACTTAATTAATCTGTGTAGTGTGTCTGCTGATAATTCAACTTCTTAATAGGCTTCACTATTTGTTGAAGTTTTCTTAATTTTTTTTATGTTGGCAATATACATTTTGTTTGGTAATTTAAATCTTATAAATTTTTCTCCCTGTGGGACAGCGGTAAGTTTATAGACTTATAACGCTAATATCCGGAGTTCGATTTCTCGCAGTGGAGACAGCAGATAGCCCAGTGTGGTTTTGCTCT